TTTCTTTTTATATTACATAATTTAATCCTTTTATCAACTCTCTCACCCTGTTGATTGCTAGACATATTTTACTGATGAAAAATTGAGGCTGAAAGAAGTAACTCATTCAAAGTAACAGAGATATAGGTTACTGACCTCAGATATAAACTCAGAAATACCTGTCTCCCAGACTATGCCTTGGCTATAGGACTATACTTCCTCTGTAGGTCCCTCTGGTTTAGAATATTTGTTATCAATTGCTGTTATGAGAGGCAATACTTATATAACAGGAGTACTATACATATAAATCTTTTTACCCAATCTGTAGTAGTTTTTACTGATACGTGGTATATTGAAACAAATTCTTTTCAATAAAAAAGGTACATGTTAAGATTTGCCTGATAATAAATAATATTCAAAGTTTTACAGCTGTTCCAGGAGCATTATCATGTCAACTGAATGCATCCTATAAACGGCCCTGACCACTGCACTGAGTTCTAAAAGGTCTACACCATACATCCTGTAAGTAAAAAGAAGACTAATTATTAAATAATACACTCCATTCCTTTAGAGAAGAAGAAATGACACAACAGGTTATATAGTTTTAGAAGGGAATATTGAATTTAAAATGTAGTGAATTCTCAGGAAGGCCTCAATTTTTCCTTTTCCAATTACAGTTTTTGGCAGGCAGTCAGTAGAAGAGTCAACAGCAATAAGTGAAGCTGGTTTATATTTCGTCATTTTGTTGGAAGCTGGGGGAAGAAAACCTAAGAAGCCCAAGTTCAATGCCAAAGTAGCTAATTTTGCCTTTAGCAGGCTTCACAACAGGGCTCCTAGTTAAACAGTGAGGTGGCAGAGCAGGAGCCTAACAAACTATGTGCTGAATTGTTTTCTGGAGGCAGTCCCTTAGGTAAACCATACAGCTCTCCCAGAGCTTCTTGTAATCAGTTTCTCTTCACTGGTGGAACCGCCATAATCTGAATACCTTGTTTTAAGGATTTTACTGGGCATTGGGGTAGAATCGCTTCATGACAGTTCATCTTTCAAGTGGCTGGGGTTGTAATCACAGAAAATGACCCTGCCTTCAAACTTAGAAATCCAGATCTCATTTTTATTCATTTGGTTTCTTAAAATATGACAAATAGGGAGGATTTGACTGTGATAAAACCAGGACTTGGATATTTTCAAATGCTTTTAAAACTGAAAAGTAAACATTCAGAAAAATGAAAATGATCTGGGCTTCTATTCTAAATATGGGTGACACACCGAGGTATATAAACACACTAATTGTAATTGTAAATTACCATGTTGTGCAGAAAAACAGACATATGGCAGGTGTCTTCACTCGCTGAGCTACACTACAGCTCCTTAACATTAATGGGCATCTGATTAAAAAAAAAACCAAAACTAATTTTCAGCAATGTCTTTCTAACTGATATGTCCCAATACTCCCATATTTAGAGAATTGCCTTTTTTTTTTTTTTTTTTTTTTACAGAAACTACAAATCTGACTAAAAATGAAAAGGCCAGATTTATTATTCTAAAATATTGCTTTATAATATGAAATTACCATTTTAGAGACAGGAAGAAAAATTATTTTTAGTAAGTGTAGATTTCCTATAGCCTTCTTTTAGAAATGTTTCTTGCATTTTTTTTGAGGGGGGCATAACACATATAGCAAATTTAAAAAAAATCACCAACAACATATATATTATAATCCTATACTTTTTTCTTAAAAAATAAAAAATGATATCATAAAGTTTAATAAACTATTCTGAACTTTGTCGAAAATCATTGTTCTATAGTTTTCCTACATATAGTGTTCCTCATTTAGGTGGTTTCTAACTTTTTGTTGTTAAAAAAAATGCTGTGACGACCATCCTTAACACTTAATTTCTGACACACGATTATTTTCTTATAAAAAGTCTTAAAGTTGAAATAATGGGCAACAAAGAAGCACATTTAAAAAAACTTCCCATATGAATTACCCAATAGCCATACATGAACGTTGCGTCAGTTCACATTCTCATGAATAAAACAGTCAAATACTTGTTCTTGTTATTTTGTCCATCACCACCACCGCTACCACACTGTTTAAATTATTGTATTTCATAACATATGATAGGACAAGACCACCCTATTTATCTTCAAAATTTCCATATTTCCCTAAGTTTTATTCATTCAGTTTAGGATCACTTTTTCAAGAAGCATTCCCACATTCTACTAGGATTTTATTGAATATGGCATTGTAATTTTTCACTTTAAAAACACTGTTCTAGGTAGATAATACAATTTTGCAGCTTAAAAAGAATTCATCATAAATAAATTCTGCCAAGGGATCCGATATGTACTGTTTAGTAAGCAGGACTATTTCTAGATGAAAGCCATAAACACAAGTGGCTATTCAGAAAAATAAATCCCTATGATACAGTCTTAGTATAATGAACAGAAATGTATAGCATTTTTTATTTTAAAAATATGAAACTTAGAAAATGGATACTAATATCCTAGCACCTTAAGTTTTCTTAGACAAAAATCAGAAAACTTCTAGGAAAAGGAGAAATTGTTCTTTATGGTAGGAACCTAATGAAAGTGCCAACAATTGATAAAGGTATAAGAACAAGAAAAGCATTTATTAATGCAGTATTTGGTCTGAATTTGAAAGACATATGTAAGAAGTGATTCAAGGGCCTTTATATTATACTGAGCTAGAGATATCCAGATAATACAGATTCAGAGAACGCTAGAAATGACTTATTTGGCAGGTACTGTGTTAAGGGAAAACTTGAAAGTAAGGTGGCCAAAGAGAAGGTGTTTATTAAATTCTGAAACTGCAGATCTACAAAGAGTCATGGTTCCCTTTGAAAATGTGATGAAGGCTACTATCACCATCTTTAATTGTACAAATACACTATTCTACTTATACACTAACGGGGTTCAGTGTCTTCAGGTTAGGATACCTGCCTTATCTAAAGGAAACAAGATAAAGGAAATATTTGATGAAAAAACCTTTTCAGAATGATGGTGAAGATCCTATTGAGCAAGTGGTTGGAATTTATGTTTTCAACTGAGGTAAGGGGCTATCTGGCAAATATGGGGACTTGGGACTGGGACTGCTTGGTATCTACCTCTATTAACTACTCCACTGAAATTTGTTCTCTCCAAAGGTACCAGTGACATTTTTGTTAATGAAATGATATCTTACTTGATTTCTTATGTTACTTGATTTCTGTGCATTTCACACTGTTAACCACCAACACTACATTCAGTTTTTTCCCAACTCTAAGGGTGGTTCCTTCTCAGTTTTGAGGGATCTTATTATTAAGGTTTCTATCTATCGACTTTAATCTCTGAAAAGTCTGAAATCCTTTAAATATCAAGTTCTCCACAAGGTCTAGTCTCTCCTCTTTTTAGAGTCAAGAGTACTAGTGATGGAAAATCTCATTTTAAATTATGTGAAGGTTGATTAGTGACACATATTAGTACTCACTTAAGCAGAGGCGCAGCAGCTGCGGGAAGCATGCAGCTGAACAAGTGCTGAGGCAGACCCTAAGCCCTGTTCCCTGAGACTGAGTGCCCATTACCATTTCCCTAAATCTGCAGGGGCTGCAGAATTTAAGGAGCAGCCTGGGTCAGAGCCCTCTTACAGCTTTTACGAGCTGAACGTTCATGGCACAATAATAATCATTCATCCTGGCATTAAACACTGTCTGATCCTCTGCAGAAACATCTCCCTTCCAAGGCTTTCCAGAAGGACTGTCTAGGAAAAGAAAGGAATGGGGTTGGTGTTATGTGACTTTTAGTGGAATAGTCCAAGAGTAAGTGATTAGTCATCTATTAAATCTAAGGCCACACAATTGAAGTTTGGATCCATTTCACTAACCTATGTGTATCATCAGTGCTCTATCTTCAGACACTAACAAGAAAAAATACCTATAAATTCTTTGTATGACTGATTAAGGAAAAAAAAAAGCAGAGAAAGAGAAAATTGACAAGATTAGTAAGCAGGAAGAACATAAACTCTCAGATATAGTGATAGAATCATAAAACAATAAATATTACATGCAGGCAATGGCAGAAGATGTAAGAACATAAAGCGCTGAATGATCTTTGTTTAGTATATGATTACCAAAATTGACCAATGTAGGTAGAAGTAGAAAACTGGAAAGCACCAATTTTATAGAAGAGATTGGAAAAGTGACTTAAGGTGTACCATCATAAAAGCCACCAGCAAATGTTGGATTAACCATCACAAATACCCACTAAAAAGCATATCTGAGCTCAAAAGAAAGTGGGGGAAATTTCCAGAGAATAAACCAAATGGAGCTAAAAACCAGAGAAGTAAGCTGGAGCTGGGGCTGAGCTACGGCTGTCTAGTTTGCCAATCTCAGTGTCAAAGGAGTTTTAAATGCAGTGACTGTGACAGGACAGGAGATGAGCCCATGGATCCGCATAAGGTGGAGAGTCGAACTGAGACCCTCACGTAAAGCTGGGGTACTATAAATGAAAAGGTGAATTAGAAAAAACCCCGCATCTTTCCAGAAGAGAAGAGCAAGAAAACTTCTGTTTCAGCAAGGGCTCTGAGTAGGCTCTGTGTACTCCTCCTATTCCATCCTCAAACCTTCCCCTGGAGGTAACTATTATCCCAGACGTTGTTTGTGTGTACACAAAGTTCTGCTTGCTATTGATAAAAATAGTATAGTGAAAACTTTCGGTGACTTGAGTTTTTCAATCAATATCATGGTTTATAAGAAAAAGAATCAAACCCTATGTTTACTGATAACTACAAGAAATAAGAGACGAAAATTAATTTTCAATTAATAAAGAGAGAAACAAAATATCCAAAACCATTTATGTACTTTAAAACCAATGCTAGGTGAAAAGAAAAGGAAAAACACAAAGCAGCAATAAATTTCAACTTTTCTCCCTGTTTACTTAAATAACTCCCACCCCATCCCCTACATATTCTTAAATTAACTTCTTTAGACAGTGAGTGGAGAACTTAATGCTAACAGCCCTGAAATAAACCCCAGGGACCAGTTTCCCCAGCTTGGTCTGCCCCAGAAAGGCAGGCCCCTCAGTTGGAAAGCCTGGGGAGGCCCAGAGTGGTGGTGGGGGCAGCGAGGAGGGTTCCTCCCTCAAGCAAAGGGGCTGAGGAGTACAAGGGTGTAAAGCAGGGTACCCCAAGGTCAAGGGTACTAAAACGGAGCCCTGAAGCCAGGGGAAAGCACACTGGTCCCCCTGAGAAGGGAGGCCTGGCAACCCCCGCACTCTCCAATGAGGAGAAATCACTGGTTGGCACATTGCCCATCTTGCTGCGGTTATAGAACCAAACTTGGACCAGGTCCTTCTGCAGCTGCAGCTGCCCAGAGAGGTGACTGATTTGCTGGGGGGTGGGCTTCGGGCACTGCAGGAAGAGTTTCTCCAGGCTGTTTCCGATGCGTCTCTCCCTGCTTGCGCGTCTCCGCTTCCGAGCCTGCTGCAGGATCATCTCCATTTTGCATAAGCCCAGAAGGTTCTTGGTGTCCACTTCCTCCAGCCACATTTTCAGTAGTGGTCGTAGCTTCCACATGTTGGTCAGGCTGAGCTGCTGGGCCTCGAAGCGGCATATGGTTGTCTGGCTAAGCACCTTTCCACAAAGAGCACCCACTGCGAACCCCACGTCGGCCTGCGAGTACCCGAGGGTTCTCCTCCTCTGTCTCAGCTCCCTGGCCAGCTGCTCCATCTCTTTCTCTATGGCCAAGCTGTCCTCAGGAAGCGACAAGCTTGGGATGCACCGTAGGACGAGGTAGGGCCCATGGGAAGTGCCCTCCGAGGGGCTCTGGAACCAGGTCCCCACCTGGCCAGCTGTGACCCGGGGCCCGCAGTGCACCATCTCACCCAGGAATTCATATGGCAGGGGACCCAGGGGCACTCCCCACACCTCAGGGCCTGGGCAAACTCTCGGCCGGACCATCAGGCTGCCGGGGGCAGCCTGGGCACTCAACCAGATCGGAGTGTCAATCTGCTCCAGCACTGGTTCTCTGGGCCCGCCCCCAACACTAATTGGCAGCTGGGGCATGTCTGAGGGCCTGTGTCCGGCCATGGGGTAAAACCGCAGCGGGAGCAGGGAGTCTGGTAGAAACTGAAGGCTCTCGAGGCTTCAGAACAGCCACCAGCCTTGCCCTCGAGCCCCGCCCCCTAGGGGACAGAGATGGCGGTGCACGCGAGAAAAATAGGCCAAGGGAGTGCGGAAATCTGGTAGACCCACTGATAGTTCTTTGGGTCTACTGGGTTAAGGGAGTGTGTCCTCTACCCTGAACTTTGCTTCTGATTCCTTTCCAGGAGTATCTCCCTCCTGGGCTTTGCACTTGCAAACTGTCTGGGATCCCTTAGTCACTGCCACCATCCTATCCCTGAAGAGAACCTAGGTATTTACGTGCTGCTCTTCAGAACTCTGGTATCTAATCCCTTTCCTTCACATAATCTGAACAACCACTTTTGGCTTCACAAATGTTTGTTAAACATCTTTATGCCAGGTATTCCTGGGACTACATCTCAATTCATTAACTGTTCCCTCACTGCTATCTTTATGGTCACAAGAATTGCCAAGTCTTTCCTTTGCATATCTGCAGTCCCTGTGTCCTAAGAAATCTATGCATCCCTCCCTGAATTTCAAGTTAACAACAGTTTGCTGTCAGATTCTCCTCCCACCCCCACACTTTGCCAGATTCCACTCTCTCATTGGGGCCAAGTTTCCTGACTAATTCCATGTTTCCTCACCAGCCCTTTAAATCCTTTGCTCCTCATCCTATTTCAGCTTTCAGGTCCAGAGTTTATGCACATAACAGAGACCTATGTGTTTCATCTTTATCCTCTCTGGAGACAGGTCTCCAGACTGGCCTGACTTACTGTTTCCCGCTGCGGTTTTACCCCATGGCCGGACACAGGCCCTCAGATGCTTCCTGCAATACCTGACTCGTCAACATCAGGCTCCCCTATCCCTGGCCCCTCTCCCATCAGAGACTTACAGACCTTTTTTTGTTTGTTTTATTAGAATAGTTTCCCTTTCATCATGTCCCTAGCTCAAGCATCCAGTCCTAGGCCCTGGGTGGAGAAATCTAAGGAGGGAGGGGGAAGAAAAGATTTGACCTCAAGTTCAAAGCTTCCAAGGAGCTTTGGGAAAAGAAAGAAGACAGTGACCCTGGCTGCACAATCTGCTTACCCCTTTACTCTATAAGTCAACCATGATATGGCTCTGTCCCACTCACATCTATTGAAATTGGGCTTCTTGAAGTCATCGGTGACCTAACAACTGTCGAATCTGATAGCCTTTTAAAAATCCTCATCCTATTAAACTTCTCAGTAATATCTAACGATACTGACTTCTCATTTTGCGTCTTCTCCTTTTTAAACTTCCATAAAATTCTGGTAACAGCAGAATCTGTATTTCGGCCCTGACTGATCTTCTGATGTCTAGTCCTGTGTTTCCCATTGCCTCAAATCAAATTCATTATCTGCACTTCCACGCCTGCCTCTCCTCCAGGGCTCCCAGAGCTGGTTAATGGCATTATCAACCAATTAGTCCCCTAACCTTAAACCCAGTTACTGTTCTTGACCTTTCCCACACTCCATAGGGCATCAAATCTTACATAATGGGTCTCCTAAAACATCTGAACTCTACCATCTCCTCTAGCCTAACCTTACTGCTTTCATTTAGACCACATAATTTCTCACTTGCACTATCGCAATAACCTTTAAGTGGCTTCTGCTTCTCCTTTCAAATTTATCTTGTATATCGCTTGCTAGAGGTAATTTTCCAAAAACCAAACCAAACCTAACCCCCGCAAAAATCTAGTCTCTCTTACCGAACCTAACCCTCCCCCCCAAAATCTAGTCTCTCTTCCCCAAATCCACAATGAGAACATCGAAACTCCTGAGTATGGAACGCATACCTACCTTTTCACCATTTGACTGCTCCCTCACTTCCTCCCTCCCTGCTTCTTCTTTCTCCTTCAGTTCTCCCTCAGCCTCACCTACCATGTTCCCCCAACTTCCTGCACCCCACTTTACCTCATGCTCAGTGAGAATATCCCACTTTGCACTAAAGATGCAGTGCTTTTCATGATTATTATGTCTTTAT